ACTAGATCTTTTAGTGCAAAGATCACATGTGTATACTTCTTTGTATCCCTCCTAATGCCTTCTTTGCATAGTCAGTGTTAAACACCTGCTGTATTCATTCCATTTTCTTCTTCCCAGCTCATCACTAAACAAGATGCTGCCTAAATCTGAAAATTCAATTTCTGCTCTCAGCTCTATATATTCTATGTGAAATGTGTGGAGTTTCCTAGGTGCAGACCAGAATATGACTTTAGTCTTCTACAAGCTTACATTAGTCCAATAAATTGTGCCAAATCTGCATTGCAGCTCCATGATCAATTTCACTTAATCTTGAGATGCACTTCAAAAGCAAAGTCAAATGTATATATTGATAGCAGTTTTTGTAAGACTGTGTCCATGGCCTCAGCCATGTCTATAGAGTTTGAAGACTTTCCCAGATGTCAGAAAATTTATTCTGACAACAGCTTCTAAATTCCATGCTGCATCCTTAATCATGGCTGCATAGGCTAGATTGACTAAGACTAGAGCCATTGTGCAAGCCTATTTCTTCACATGAGTGATGAGGAATGGGATCAGACAAGGCACCACCCACTATTATATATGCCACAATATTATCAGGGACTAGTTTGCATATATTGCTGAAATTTAAGATGAGCTGTGTTACCTGGTAACTACCAAAGCCAGGGCTACTAAGGGCCTATGTTTTTTAAGTATAAAAACTATAAAAAGTATCCATAAATTTTATTATTTTCTTATACTAGCATGAACAAATCTCTTCTCAACCAGGATATACATAAAAGCATATCGTGATTCAGACTGCCTTAGTAGTAGCAGTACATAAGCAAGAAAGAGTTGCTGGCAACAGACAGATGTCTTAATAGTTTGTACAGTTTTCTTCTCAAAGGAGTGGTATCATGGACACAGTGGATATTTTGATAGAAGCTAATGGTTTCATATACAAGCAAGTTGGAATTAATTATTTCAGAATCCCAAACTCCTTAAGTTGGGGGATTATTGGTATCTAAATTCAAGGGAGCTATTTTATTAATCCAGAACTCCTGGGGTCCTATTAGTTCAAAAAGAGAACCAGAGCAGCAAACAGCAGCTAGCTCTGGGTATGTCTCCATAAACTAGTTGAAAAACTAAACATGTCAGTTCCTTAGTTATTTCTTTTTTTTCAACATGATTTCCCTAAACACATCAAGTTGGAAAATTTTTTTCTTTACCAAATATTTTTTTTACTTGTTTTGATAAAATATTTGCTGCTTCAGTGTCACTTAGCTATAGTTTCATTTCTAGAACAAGAAAGATACATGTTCAATCCAACATCACCCCCTACTGTTTTGCCATTACACACCATGTGTTAAATCTTCTTAATCTTCTCAAATTATTTTATTTTTCTTCAAAACATCAAGTACCCTGCTCTCTTCCTGCTCTCTTAAGGAAGAATTACTTTCTCAAAAGTAAAAGATTACTATCCCAAATAGTAGTCAAGTTTTCAGACTAATTTAAATTGGCTAATTGAAACAAGCAAATATTTTAGAAAAATTACTGGTCCTGGACAAAAAGCTGTTCTTAAAGTGTTAACTAAAATTTTTATTGGTAGTTCATCTCATGGTAAACATATGTAACATGTAATGGACTTATAGCAGTCACACTCTAGTGCAAAAATTAAAATTTAAAAGCTATCAAGACTACATTATAAAATTTCCAAAAGTCTCCTAATATTTAAATAAAAATGGGAATAGTAGAAGAATATCATGTAAGGAAAAATATCCTGTATGTAAATTACATCTAGAAAATTTTTACTTAAGAAATTTAGTTTTCATTTGTAATGCTAACAGCAAGACTCCCATGAAAAACACACATGGTGTCAAAACAAGCCAAAGGAAAATCATTTGGGCAAAAAAAGGAAAAAATATCCCAAGTCAAATTTATAGAAAATATTCCTTTATTAACTTTTGATTGAGAATATGTATATTTTTAGAAAACAACTCCAATACCATATGGATTCCTGCAACAGAGAGAAATTGACAGGACTGCTCCAGCCATGAAGAGAAACAGTCCAGAGATGGAAGATGCTGAGGACACCTTGCCATACTAGCAGTCATCAGCTGTGCATCACTGCAGGTTGCCCAGGACCAAACCAGAGAGGATCAGATCTGCAACACCACCATTTGTCCACCATCCAGAACTGAAACATCATTGCTGACATGTATACATAAGGAACTGTTTGACATTGAAATTGGGACTCAAAAGAAATGTTGACCCAGAAAGAAACTCACTACAAACTGATTCATTTGCCTCCCAGCATAACCATTATTGCTTGTCTCATTTTCGGTTCCTTTTTTTTTTTTAAATAAATCTTTATTGTTCAGATTATTACAATTGTTTCTCCTTCTACCCCCCTCCTCCCATAGCTCCCTTCCACCTGGTCCCCACTCCACCATCTACCCTTACCCCCACCCCCCCTCCTCCGCTATCCTTATCCATAGGTATATGATTTTTGTCCAGTCTCTTCCTGCACCCCACACCCTTTTCCCGCTGAGAATTATAAATCCCCCCATTCTATGCCCCTGATTTTATTATATTCACCAGTTTATTTTGTTCCTCAGATTTTTAATTCACTTGACTTTTAGATTCACTTGTTGATAGATATGTATTTATTGTTCATAATTTTTATCTTTACTTTTTTCTTCTTTTTTCTTTTTTTAAAGAACACCTTTTAAGCATTTCATATAATACTGGTTTGGTGGTGATATACTCCTTTAGCTTTTTCTGATCTGTGAAGATTTTTATCTGTCCTTCAATTCTGAATGATAACTTTGCTGGGTAATCTTGATTGTAGGTTCTTGCTATTCATCACTTTGAATATTTCTTGCCACTCCCATCTGGCCTGCATAGTTTCTGAGAAATCAGCTGACAATTTTATGGGTGCTCCTTTGTAGGTAACTGTTTTTTTCTTGCTCCTTTTAATATTCTCACTTTGTCTTTTGCTCTTGGCATTTTATTCATGATGTGTCTTGGTGTGGTCCTCTTTGGATTCCTATTGTTTGGGGTTCTGTGCACTTCCTAAAATTGTAAGTCTATTTCTTTCACTAGGTGGGGGAAGTTTTCTGTCAATATTTCTTCAAATAGGTTTTCAGTATCTTGTTCTCTCTCTTCTTCTGGCACCCCCATAACTCTGATGTTGGTATGCTTGAAGTTGTCCCAGAGGCTTCTTACACTATTTTCAACTTTCTGGATTCTCTTCTTTTCTTGCTTCTCCAGAAGAGTGTCCTTTGCCTCTTTGTATTCCAAATCTTTGACTTGATTCTTGCATTCTTCTAATCTGCTGTTGGGTCTCTGTATATTTTTTATTTCAGTCATTGTATGTTTAATTTCTAGTTGATTTAATTTATTTTTCATATTCTCAATGGTCTCATTAAATTTATCAGCCTTTTCTAGGAAATTCTTTAAAAACCTTATAACCGTGGTTTTGAACTCTATATCCAGTTTTTTGTTTTACTCCATTTCTTTTGTTTGAGATCTCCTTCCTTTTCTCTACATTTTCGCTGCTCCCCTGAGTTGGTAGTGTAGCTTTGTGGGCCTGGGTGACTTATATGATTCAATGGGTCAGCCTCCCAGTTGCCTGATGTGGACACTCTTGGTACACCCCTTTGTGGACTGTGTGTACACCCTTGTTGTAGTTAAGTCTTGATTGTTGTTGATGTCACTGGGAGGAATTGACCTCCAGGCCAATTGGCTGTGAGGACTCGCTGTGTCTATAATGGAAGAATTGCTGTGCTGGAGACACGTTTATGGGGGAGGAATTTTTCCTGTAGGGCTTTGGTGCTCACTGAGTCTGCCTCTTGAATGTGTCACTTATGGATGTGAACAGTTGAAATTTGATGTTGTCTCACACTGACCACTAGATACATTAGCTTCTGGATCTCCAATGGGGTGCAGTTCAGCTACTGTCTGAGGCCACCCTGCAGGAGCAGCAGTGAGAACCATAGTCCTCTCCTCCCTGCTTAGAGCTTGGAAGCTTCAGAGTTATCTGCACCAGGTTGCAAGTTTGCTAGGTTAAACTGCAATAGAGAAGGCCATTCATATGCAAAAGTCACTGCTTGGAGCTTGGGTGTGTTTGTAGATTGTGAGGGGCAGAGTGTCAGGGCAGAGTCTCAGGGCGGAGTCTCAGGACATCTCTAGGCTTGAGCATGGCAAACAGCAATAGCTTCCAGTCAGCCTTCTCTGACTCTCTGACCTTGTCCCAACATCTTGCTCCCCAGCACAACAAACAATTATTCTTGCATGCAGCTCTGCAAGCAAGCCACCCTTTTTTTCTGATCCAATGGCAGACATCCTAGCTTCTCCTCAGAAACTGGATTTCAGAGAGATTGGGAGCTTTTCTCTCTTTATGTTGAAGAAAGCAATGCCTTCCACCAGCTGGGATCCGCTGCCTTCCCATATTGCACTCATGCCCCTGTATCTCAGTTTTTTAGCTTTTGTGCCCTGAATGCTCCTTTCTCTTTCAATCTAGTTGTAGAGATTCCTCTCAGCCAGCTTTCCCATGGTTCTGGGAGATAGACGTTTTGTTTTTAGTTGTAGTTTTGAAATTGTTATGCACAGCAGCAGTTTAGGTGTGTTTACCTAAGCCTCCATCTTGGATCTCCTCTCATTTTTGGTTCTTATAAGTATATTTCTTGTATCATGTGATCTCACTCATCTAGGGGAAATAATGAACAACATAAACTGATGGACAAAAACAGACCCAGAGAGAGGGAAGCATCGATAAGACTCTCAAACCTCAGAGAGAAGGTAGGGGAGGGTGGGGGAAAAGGGCAAAGATCAACCAAAGGACTTATATACATGCATGTAAGCCTAACAAGTAGTCATGGACAACAGGGGAGTGGGGCATACGTGGGGAGGGGGGTTGGGATGAGAATGGGGGGATGAGGACAAATATGTGATACCTTAATCAATAAATAAATTTTTTAAATTTACTATCCCATCCACCTTACTATAGGTATTCACATAACCCTGTTGATTCCATTTGAGAAGCTGTGTTCACAGTATCTCTGAATAAGCAGTATCTGGACATGGTGAGGTCTATCACTCCAGCAAAAACTGGCCCTACAAAGTAGCAGGCAGTTGGGATTACAGACAACAGGTATGCATTCAATGCTTCATAAAAGAATAAAGTTGCCACCAAATAGCTCTGATAATCTGAAAGAAATCTTATAATGAGCAATGAATTCTTTGACCAATGAGAAGCAAGTTTATAATGATGCAGACATGACTACTTTTCTGATTTATAGCTTTGTTCCAAGCAACAGTTATACCCAAGATGATTATATTTGTCAACAGGGACAAATAAGTATCAAACCCAAGCCAGAAAGAATGGGCAGGGACTCAGGATCCAAACATATTTGTTGCAAGGAAAAAATTGGACACTCTCTTGTGCTTTAGTATTGGAAGTAGGAATGCCATAGAGCTATATGTATCTCAAACTGTGTTTAACAAGACAATTATTACTAAGAAAGTTTTAAAATCCAAAAAGAAGTGGAGTTGACGTTCAGTCATTTGTATTAGGAGCACAGAAGAGCAGTATATATAGATAGCCCACGAATATTTTCTATTTGCCCTTAGAATGTTTTTTGTTCTTATATTTTAATGTGGCTGTGTTATGTGTTCATAGAGTGAACATTACTTGAAAAACTTCAATAACCATACTGAAAACCTAGTTCTAGGAGTAACTAGGAAGTTCTTCACCTTTATCTTTCTGTTTTCCACTCTGTTTCTATTAAATTTGTTCAGCATTGTCTTATTGTTATTTCCTGAGTTAGAAAAAGTAATTAGTCTTTATGCTTCAAACAGTCCTTTTTAAATCTTAATTTTTAATAAGGAGCCATGGGTCAAACTGTTAGACCTCAAAGGGAGGGTGGGGATAAAAGGAAGAGATCAACCAAAGGACTTATGTGCACACATATGAGCCTAACCAGTGGTCAAGGACAATAGGAGTGTGGGAGCATGAGAGGGAGGTAGGGGATTGGAATGGAGGGTTGAGGAAAAATAAATTAATTAAATTAATTAAAAAATAAATTAATTAAAAAATAAAGAAAGAATAATTACAAAACCTAAGTTTCCCATTTTAATTCATTTCTCACCCATTCGAAAGCATTCACTGAGCCCTGATCTGGGCATGTAGGGGAATAAAAAAGAAATGTAACACACAGTCTCAGTTCTCCAGGAGATTATAGTCTAACTAGAGGCCCAGTGCACAAAATTTGTGCACTGGGAGGGTGTCCCTTAGCCCAGTCTGCACCTTCTCCAATCTAGGACCCCTCCGGGACTGTCTGACAATCCAGGAATGCTGGCTCCCAACCATTCGCCTGCCTGCCTGCCTGATTGCCCCTAACTGCTTATGCCTGCCAGTTTGATCACTCCCTAACCACTCTGCTGTCAGCCTTATCGATACTTAACTGCTTCCCTGCTGACCTGATTGTCCACAACAGCCTTCCCCTGCCAGCCCAGTCACCCTTAACTGCCCTCCTCTGCAAGCCTGGTTGCCCCTAACTGCCCTCCCCTGATGACTGGTCCCCTCCCTCCCCAGCAGGCTTGGTCACACCCAACTACCATCTTCTGCTAGCCTGATTGCCCATGCTGGCCTGGTCAACCACAACTCTCCTACCCTGCTGGCCATGTTGTGGTGGCCATCTTGTGACCACATGGGGGAAGCCATCTTGTGTGAGGGTGTGATGGCCAATTTGCATATTACCTCTTTATTATATAGGAGGATTGAAGAGAAGAGACAACCAAACAGAAAGCAATTAACTAACAACCTAGAAGAATGTATGGTTGAGTTAAGATACATGCTACAGGAGGAAGTGCTATACTAGTTTGGGGAGAGGGTGGTTATTAGGATCTGATTCAGTTAAGAAAGATCCAGTGGAAAAAGCAAAATTTGATCTGAATTTTTATGGGTATGTAGAATTTAAGTAGGACAAAAGGGACATGAATCAAAGGTTTGTGATTGGAATTAAGCATGGAATTTGGGGAAGGTCATAGGGAAAACAGTCTGTGTAGTTCAGGTGGCTAGGGAAAAACTGTCAACAAGGTTGGATATTAGCTTTACAAGCTATAGGACATTGAACTATTATGTAACTTTGAGCAGGAATTATAGGACGAACATTTTTCTTTTCTTTTTTTCATCTCAGTATATAGAATGCATTGAAAGTAAAAAACAAAACAAAACAAAACAAAAAAAACTATAACCAAGGAAAACTGTTAAGTGAAAGGTGCAGCAATCTAATTAAAATGTTGTGAGTACTTGAAGGGAGGTGCTGATAGAGGAAGGAAAGGGCAAAGAGTTGATAAAAGAGAGACATTGTGAAAGGAGAACCAACAGACTTGTTGGCTATCTGACTGATGACCATGAGGAAATTGGCATAAGCTAATGAACTTATGCTGGTTTGTGGGAAAACATGACTTGAAGTTTTAGGTAGGTTGAATTCAAAGTAATGGTGAATTATCTAAGAATTGATGTGCTAAGGCAATGGTTCTTAACCTTTCTAATGCCGCAACCCTTTAATAAAATTCCTCATGTTGTGGTGACTCCCAACCATAAAATTATTTTCGTTGCTACTTCATAACTATAGTTTTGCTACTGTCAATAAGTTGTATTGTAAATATCTGTGTTTTCCAATAGTCGCAACCCACAGGTGGAGAACCTCTGCTGTAGAGCCTAAAACCATCAGAAAATGCAGATATTTACATTACAATTCATAACAGTAGCAAAATTACAGTTATGAAGTAGCAACAAAAATAATTTTATGGTTGGGGATCACCACAACATGAGGAACTGTATTAAAGCGGCGCAGCATTAGAAAGGTTGAGAACCACTGTGCTAAGGGGTTTTGGAGATGTTAAACTGAAGGACAAATGAGAGATGGGAGCTTTTCTTTAAAAGAAAAATACTGAACACTTACAAAGTGATAAGCATTCAGGATATAAACATGAGTAAGACATGGTTCTAACCATCAAGGAATGTATAGTCTAATGGAAGGACAAATAAATGTAAATTATGCTGATGACTATGAGAAGGATGGATAGAAAAAAGTAAGAGTGGAACAAAAAAGATGCAATAGCAATGACCAAGGCAATAGATGCTGGTGACCTATCCCTAAGTAGTGAGAGTCAAGGAAAGATAAAATATACTGAAGAAATATTTAAAAGGTGAAATATTCAAGACTTAATAGTTGGTTTAATGGTGAAGGTTGGGGTGAGGAAGAAGTCGAGGATAATGACTCACAAGACTAACAGAAATAACAAGATGATTGGTGATACCACCAACTGAAATTAGAGAATAAAAACAGAAAGAAGAGGATGTTAATGTGGGAAGAAAATCATTATGTTTTGGTGTGTTGAGACTGAGGTCCATGTAGAACATTCGGGTAGAAATGTCAACTGCAAGTTTGCTATGCAAGACTAAAGTTTATGGAAGAAGACATGTGCTGAAGTTGTGCAGTTGGAAGTCATCAGCATACAGTGCAGTTAAATAATAGACATGAATGAGATCACTCAGAAGAGTATATAAGGAAAGGAGAACAGTGGATTAAGGACAGAACCCTAGAGACAGAAGAAATTATCAGACAATGGTAGAAAATGAAAGACAGGTTGCAGTGCATAGAGAATGAATTGGAAGTTAGAATGGGCAGAGAGAAAGGAGACCTTAACTCAGAGTTTTGCAAAAAATATGGGACCAACCACAATTAGAGAGTAGGACTAATTAAGAGCGACAGGAAATGAAATGGAGAAGAGTCATTTGGCAAGTGAGAAACATGTTAGAAAAGCCAATTGAGGAAATATTTTTAGGGAGGATTTTCAAGAATATAAAATGCTGCAGAGATAAGAGGAGAACAAAACTGGGGACAGTGTTGAAGGCTGAAGCCAGGTTACAAAGGAGCTAAAGAGGGAGTGGGTATTGACAAAATGGCATAGTGAATATCAATCACTCTTTTAAGAAATATGGTAGTAGGAATGAAAAGAAAGGGGGAAGAAAAGGATCTTAAAAGAGCAAAGCAATGATAAAGAGGAGGTAAGTGGAGATGGGAGCAAGAAGGACTACCAGGCCAGATATCTGTGACATCAAGTGAGATATCTGTCAAGATAACATTGAATTTGTTAAAGTAGATGAGAAGGATACAATGAAGGGGAGACCTTGAATATATTCAAACAAGTGGGGAGTAGTGTGGGAGACAAATACTTCAGGAGTTGAAATTTTAAAATAATTAAGTGAATTATCCTAAACACAACATATACACGTAGATCTTGTATCATATAGTAAAACACTGAAATGTTGGCTTTAACAAGAAAAGTAGACTGAAAGGGTTTGGTATCTTGAAAAAGCATGCTGACCGCTGTGAAGAGAATAAATTTGAGTGGGCTTAAAACATTTATGCAGCACTAGACAGCTAGATAATCCAGCTACAAATAATCAGGGAAAATATATCATTTCCCCCCTTTTCTAGTTTTCCCTTGAGGCACATGGGATTGTCACCTCTCGTTTTAGCTGGTCATTGTTACTTGAGTGCAGACATATTTGGCACCTCTGGCATGTGCTGCATTTTGAAGATACTCACAGAGCTCAGGATACCTAGGAACATGCTTGCAATCTCAGCTGCATGCCTACTGCTATTCTTCTTTGGGAGACCTGGTACCACCATGTAAGCATCACCAATGGTCTCTACCTGGGAAATAGGGGAAAGTATAGATTTAGCAAGCAAATAACTTATGGTGTGTGTGCGTGTGTGTGTGTGTGTGTGTGTGTGTGTGTGTGTGTGTGTTTTCACAAAATTTAAGTGGTATGATGGGAACCAGGTATACTTTTTGTAAAGTGAGAAGGAAAGGGATATTGTTAGTGGTTCACAGGACTGGCTGCACAGTAGAATCATTTAAGAAATTTTATTAGAAAATACTGATGTCAGGTCCCACACAGATAAAATTTTGAAATAAGTAGAAGTACTTTGCAGGCTTCTGGCTGGCCTTAGAGCACTATTAGGCTCCATACAATTCCTGGGAAAAGGAAAAGGGCAGATTTCTGAGACTGTCTGTAGGTATCTATGGGGAATCACCCTAGGAAAAGGTGCACCTGGCACTCCTCCATCAAACAATTCACTAAATGATTTCAGATAAATGAGCTATGGCAACCTTAATGCAAGTATAGGAAAAGGGAAATAATGGAGGTGGAAGAGTTCATTCCTTTTGCTTTGCCTTGCTAATATAATAAAATTAGTTTATCAGTCTCATTGGATATGAGAAATGGTTTTTTTTTTTTTTTTTGGTTTTTTTTTACCACCAGCTATCTCCTCCTCTCGTAGTGCTAACACTTAAGGGCAGCACTACTAAGCCTCACCTGCTTTGGAGGAGACAGTTAGAGCTGGAAACTTGTAAATAAAGGAAAATATGTGCTCCTTATCTTCCCCACAGAAATGTGCTCACTTTTTTAGGTGACCAGTAAGTTGGAGCTTTTCAAGTAAATCCAAAAGATAAGTAAGTTGAAAGGACTTTTATGAAATCTGCCAATCTGACTCTGCTATTATAAGTGTGGATGCAGCTTAAATCCATGTTCTCCTAGAGAGCAGTACTCATGACTTCAATGGATAAGACCATGCTATCTTGGTTAGAATCCAAGATCTATCATTTATAAACTGTATAGCCTTGGGCAAGTCACTTAACCTCTCTGTGCTTCAGTATCCTTATCTGTAAAATAGGGATTATGACAGTATCTACCTCATAGAGTTTTCTAAGAACTAAAATCTTAATACATATCAAAGCACTTAAAATCTGCCTGGTGTATAATAAATGCAAAATATCTCCTCCTCATCATAATTGGCATCATTACCAAACTGATAAGTCTTGAAACAAGCCTTAGAGAAATAATCAGTAGTAATCAGCAATAGGCCTCTCATCATGATTTTCTATATAGCCAATAACAATTATCTTTGCACTAATGAGTCTTTGTACCTCAGCATGCTTCCAATCAGGACCTCCCTTACCTGGTGGACTTTGAGAAAAGGTTTCCTGCCCTCAAATAAGCATGCCTCTCTACACAGAGGGAGGCAATGGGTACTGTCCAGATGCTATATGGGAGGGGAAAATTCACTGGCTGGCCATTAAGATTTGAGTCATTTACACAGGAGTTGGATATGGATAAAAGATTAGAAGGTCAAGGAGCATAGGCACTGCCTAGCCTTGGTGTGGGACTGCAGGGGGAAACTGTAGATTGCATAAATCAGCAAAAGGACAGAGAAAGGGAAGAGGAGGTATAGAAAAGGGTCTGGTCGAGAGGAGGTAATGGCAGGAGAATTGAAATTGAAAACAAATCATGCACTTCGTAATTCTGCAGTAGCCTTCTCATTTCCATTTCAGATTATTAAGTGCTAGAAGAAGCGATTCTAACTTTACGGGGCATGGGGAAGAAAGCACAAACAGGTTTGATGAATCACTGCTGGTTCAATATTTTTCCTTTGTGCTATTTATTTTTAATAAACTGGACTAAAAAATCAAATTCCAATTTTGGATTCACATAGCCCTGCTCTGTCCTGGAAACAGCCAACTAACTCCCTACTATAACCATAAAGTACAAAAATATCTAACATCCTCATCCCTACGATCATCAACAATTGTCTGAACAATATCAGCTGTATTGATTAAACCAGTGACTGTCTTACTGCTCATGCTGAATCACCGTTTATTTTAGTTTCAACTGAATTAGATTTTGGTGATTTGTTTTTCTCTTCAGGCTGCTTGAGTTCAACAAGTTGAGATGAGTAGTCTGATTCCATGGATATTTTTCTCCTTCATAGTCTCTATGTGTGCTTCTTGACTAATTTGCAGCTCTTGCTGATTGGCAGGTATGATGTCTATTTGTGAGTCGTATTTAAATGACTTTGCCTAGCCCTGAGGCTCTCTACCTTACCTGAAAGGGCCCTGTCTAATCTGAGATAAACACACTACCCCGTGTGTGATTTAAGAATTGGAACATTTCAGACTTCTGTGAAGGAAACAATGAATGGAGTTACTCATTCTCCAGCAATGCCTTGGTTCCTGGGGCAGAGGAGTGTCTAAAGTTTGGAATGCCTGTGACATCTTTCTACACCCAATAAGATAAGCATCCATGTTGCAGACTACCTGGAAACATCTATGCACAGCTATGAAAATTTTGGCAAGTTTCTTCCTAGAGACAAGATAACAAAATCAAGTGTAAGGAAGCATCACATCTAAGTGAGTTCATGAAGTCATCTATTTTTTTATTCATCTTCTGCAAACTTTGATAGGAAAAGTAGAAATTAAAAGGCTGGAAGGGTAGAGAAAGGTGGAAGCAGGAAATTGCACCTCACAATTAACCACTTCCCAGACCTTACAACAATAGGTGAGATTTTGGTTATCCTGCAGTACCCCCTAAGAGCCTCAGATTTAATAGCTCTTGAACATGAGTAATTCTAGAATTCTCTTCTGTATATATATAAAAAATACCTAAATGGAAAACCAACTTTTATCAGCATGTATTTCTACATAAACTTTACCAAGATGAACTCTGTAGCAGTTACCAACTACAAGCAAAACACCAATACTTCTATATCCCCTTCAGTGCCTAGCATTATACTGCCTACACTTTAGGGAGTCAGCCACTGAAGTGCAATAACATTTTTGGACCTAATCTCTTCTTAGTCCCAATTCTAGGAAACAGCCCAAAAGAAATGTGACCAGCAATCATGTCAGGCTTTCATTTCCAATGAGATACCCATGCAAAATTTTTAATTTACTATTTAAATTTTAATTCCTAAATAACAAATAATAAAATAGCATCTTTTTATTTTGAAGTATACATAGATGAGCCTCATATAAAAAATTCTCTCTGGAATATATACTGAGTGGCCAGATTATTATGACCATCTGATGTTTGTAGGCAAATTAGCCGTACAGTACATCGTATGGGATATGGAAGTCGAAGACCTGTTTGAACACCTTTGCTCTCTGCAGTTACCAAGATAAAACATCTCCAATTCACATAGGAACACAAGGATTGGACAGTCGAGTATTGGGAAAAAGTCATGTGACCCAATGAATCACGTTTCCGGTTACATCATGCAGATGGCAGAGTGAGAATTTCGTGGAAACAGCATGAAAGCATGAACCTCACATGCATGAATACAACCCTTTAAGCTGGTGGGGGCAGTGTTATGGTTTGGGGCATGTTTTCCTGGTACGATTTGGTCCCTTAATTTGTGTGGAACAACATATGAATAGCACAACATACCTAAGTATCATTGTTGATCAAGTTCATCCTATCATGTTGATGACATTTCCCAATGGAGATGGCTTCTTCCAACAAGACACTGCACCATGCCACAGTGCTCATATTGTGCAGGAGTGGTTTCAAGAACATGAGGGATACTACCTTGCTTAGGTGGCCCCCACAATCACCAGATCTCAATCCAATTGAGCATTTGTGGGACAAAGTTAAAAGAGACATCAGGCAGTTGGCTCTACAACCATCAAATCTCAAAGAACTGGACAATGCTATTCATCAGGCATGGTGTCAGATTTATCACATCACCTTTCAACATCTCCTGGAGTCAATGCCAAGAAGAATCGCCACAGTATTGAAGGCAAAAGGTGGCCCAATGAAGTACTGATGGGATGGTCATAATAATCTGGCCACTCAGTGTATTTCTGTGCTAATTAACTTTTCTTGTAGACATCATGACTGCCAATGATGGCATCAAAAAGTATGTACAGGTCATTGAGAAGATCCACCACTTCAGTGGGATCATTCACAGCTGAGATGGTGGTGAAGCACACAATGTCACTGAAGTACAAGGTGATCAAGTCAAAACCCTCAGGTTCAACCGTGCAGCACTTTTTTTCTCTTTTTTTTTTAATATATTTTGATTTTTTTCCTCCTCCCTCTTTCCATACCTACCCTCCCTCCCCAGAGTTTTATGTCCATTGGTTGTACTTATATGCATGTATACAAGTCCTTCGGTTGATCTATTATCTCCCCCAGACCTCCCTCCTCTCCCCACTGTAATTTGACAGTCTGCTTGTTGCTTTATTGTCTCTATATCTATCTTTTGGTTCATCAGTTTATAATATTCATTATTATCCATAAATGAGTGAGGTCATGTGGTGTTTCTCTTTCATTGACTGGCTTATTTCACTCAGCATGATGTTCTCCAATTCCATCCAGGTTGCTGCAAATGATGAGAATTCCTTCTTTTTATGGCAGCATAGTATTCCATTGTGTAGATGTACCACTGTTTTTGGATCCAATCATCTGCTGATGGGCACCTAGGCTGTTTCCAAATTCTGGCTATTGTAGATTGTGCTGCTATGAACATAGGGGTGCAAATATCCTTTTTGATTGATGTTTCTAGTTTCTTGGGATATATTCCTAGGAGTGGGATTACTGTGTCAAATGGGAGTTCCATTTTCAGTTTTTTGTGGAAACTCCACACTGTTCTCCACAGTGGTTGCACCAGTCTGCATTCCCACCAGCAGTGCATGAGGGTTCTTTTTTCTCCGCAACCTCAACAACACTTGTCATTTGTTGATTTGTTGATGTTGGCCATTCTGACAGGTGTGAGATGGTACTGGATTATTGTTTAGATTTGCATCTCTCGGATAATTAGTGACTTTGAGCATGTTTTCATGTGCCTTTTGGCCTTCCTTCTGTCTTCTTTTGAAAATATTCTATTTAGGTCCATTTCTTAATTGGATCATTCATCTTCCTTTTATTTAGTTGTATAAGCTGTTTGTAGATGTTGGAGATTAAACCTTTATCAGTGGTATTATTTGCAAATATGTTCTCCCACACAGTGGGCTTTCTTGTTGTTTTGTTGATGGTTTCTTTTGCTGTAAAGAAGCTTTTTATTTTGATGTAGTCCCATTTGTTTATTTTCTCTTTAGCTTCCATTGCCCTAGGGGCAGTATCAGTGAAGAAGTTCTTTTGGCATACGTCTGAGATTTTGCTGCCTGTGGATGCTTCTAGTATTTTTATGGTTTCCTGTCTGATGTTTAAGTCCTGTATCCAATTTGTGTTTATTTTTGTGTATGGTGTAAGTTGGTGATCTAGTTTCATTCTTTTGCATGTGTCTGTCCAATTTTCCCAGCACCATTTATTGAAGAGACTGTCTTGACTCCATTGTATATTCGTGCCTCCTTTGTCAAATATTAATTGAGCATAGTGATTTGGGTTGATATCTGGGTTCTCGATTTGATTCCATTGATCTATATGTCTGTTCTTGTGCCAGTACCAGGCTGTTTTGAGAACAGTGGCTTTGTAATATAGTTTGAAGTCTGGTATTGAGATCCCTCCTACTTTACTCTTCTTTCTCAGGATTGCTGTGGCTATTCGGGGTCTTTTATTGTTCCAAATGAACTTTTGGAGAGTTCTTTCTAGGTCAGTGAAATATGCCGTTGGTATTTTAATGGGGAGTGCATTGAACCTATAGATTGCTTTAGGAAGTATGGACATTTTGATGATGTTGATTCTACCAATCCATGAACATAGTATTTTCTTCCATCTCTTTACATCTTCCTCTATCTCCTTTTTCAGTGTTGTGTAGTTTTCCGCATATAGGTCCTTTACTTCCTTAGTTAAATTTATTCCTAGGTATCTTAATTTTTTTGGTGTGATGGTAAATGGAATTGCTTTTTTAGTCTCTGTTTCTGTAGTTTCACTGTTGGGGTATAGAAATGCCATGGATTTCTTGGCATTAATTTTGTATCCTGCTACATTGCCAAATTCATTTACTAAGTCAATTAGTTTTTAAATGGAGTCTTTTGGTTTTTTTATGTACAATATCATGTCATCTTCAAATAAGGATAACTTTACTTCTTCTTTTCCAATTTGGATGCCTTTTATTTCCTCCTCTTCTCTAATTGCAATGGCTTGTACTTCCAGTACTATGTCAAACAGGAGTGGCGAGAGTGGGCATCCCTGTCTTGTTCCTGTTCTGCCCTTTTTGAGGGATTCAGCAACTTAACTGAAAAGCAGACACAGTTATTCCTCAGAGGAAAGATGCCTTCCATTATGTCACACACAGACCTGCTAGAATATAATTTATCTAAAAATCACTGTCAAGTAAATGATGAGGAAAAAAATATCACCTGGATAAAAACATTAATTCTTTCATTTATTCTACAAATATATATCAAGTGCTTACAATGTGCTAAGTATTGTGCTAGATGCTGGAATACAGCACTTACCAGACAAACCTAGTCTGTTCCTTTGTGAATTTTTTTCAGCTCTCTTTCTTCCACAGCACTCTATGCCCTTAGCGAATGTTCTGAGGTAGTTTCCCTTGCAAGAGACTAGTTTACCCAATTATCTCCTAGAAGATCCTGTTACAACAGAATGAAGTGCCTGGTAAATTTTGGAAATTGTAGTGAATAGATAAAACTTTCAACTAAGGAATGAAAATCCTAGAAATACAATTCTACTACTTTCTTCTAGATGTTCAAAGAACTTCCTTTTAATTGATCAACTACAGGCAAAGTCATGAAATGACAGAAAAACCAAGGTACCAAAACTTAAATGACCAGCAGGTACAGGTAGTAGAAAATTAGCAAGTGTGCTCTGCTCCCTTGATTTCTAATTATTCTTTGGTTGTTTTTTTTGTTTTGTTTTGTTTTGGTGTTTTTTTTTTGCGGGGGGGGGGGGGGTGGGTTGTTTTGTTTTGCATATTAACCTTTTATTATATGGGATGGAGGACAGGGAATGTATCAATTTTTTGTACCACCAGAAGCTAGCATACTATCTGGTTAACATTGTATATTTGTTTTGTTTTGTTTTTAATTTCTTTATTGATTAAGGTATCACATATTTGTCCTCATCCCCCCATTCCCATCTTAAACCCCTCCCCAGGTATGCTCCCACTCCCCTGTTGTCTGTGACCACTTGTTAGGCTTATATGCATGTATACAAGACTTTTGGTTGATTTTCCCCCCTTTTCACCACCCTCCTCTACCTTCTCTCTGAGGTTTGACAATCTGATCAATGCTTCCCTGTCTCTGGGTCTGTTTTTGTTCATCAGTTTATGTTGTTCATTATTTCCCTTAGATGAGTGAGATCATGTGATACAAGAAATACATTTATAAGAACTGAAAATGAGACAAGCAATAATGGTTATGCTGGGAGGCAAATGAATCAGTCTTTGGTGAGTTTCTTTATGGGCCAACAGTTCTTTTGAGTCCCAATTTCAATGTCAAACAGTTCCTTATGTATACATGTCAGCAATGATGTTTCAGTTCTGGAAGGTGGACAAATGGTGGTGATGCAGATCCGATCCTCTCTGGTTTGGTCCTGGGCAACCTGCAGTGATGCACAGCTGATGACTGCTAGTATGGCAAGGTGTTCTCAGCATCTTCCATCTCTGGACTGTTTCTCTTCTGTATTCATGGCTGGAGCAGTCCTGTCAATTTCTCTCTGTTGCAGGAATCCATATGGTGTTGGAGTTGTTTTCTGAAAATATACAAACTTATTCTCAAACAAAAGTTAATAAAGGAATATTTTCTATAAATTTGACTTGGGATCCTTTTTCATTTTTTGCCCAAACGATTTTTCTTTGGCTTGTTTTGACACCATGTGTGTTTTTCATGGGTGTTTTGCTGTTAGCATTACAAATGAAAACTAATTTTCTAAAGTAAAAATTTTCTAGATGTAATTTACTTACAGGATATTTTTCCTTACATGATATTCTTCTACTATCCCCCTTTTATTTAAATATTAGGAGACTTTTGGAAATTTTATAATGTAGCCTTGATATCTTTTAAATTTTAATTTTCACCCTTGGGAATCAATAAAAAATCATCTTGTTGGTGCTTGGATACAAAAGTAACAGTTCTCTTAATATTTTAGAATTACAACAGTATAATGTACAATTATCCCAAACTTACAAACTAATTCTTTGAATGTCTGGAAGCAATTTAAAAAGGATATGAAAGGATTTAATCCCTTCCACTGTGTAGAGGTTCCCCTGGGAAGGCACCTGATCATTCTATATTTGCCCTGTTTGGCCAAGAGGTACCCTCTTCTCACAATCCAATTGCCCACAGCTGTTGCCTTAGCTATCTGTTCTTGTTGAGGTTGAAGCCTAGTGGTGGCTAGTACCATGGATCTATTTCTCGCCCAGTGGAGTAAGCTGGGCCCTCTCTCGAGAAGAAACCAGGGTTCCCAAGATATGTGATCAGTGCTGGGGCCTTGCCAGCAGGTGAGGGGATCCCAAGGCAGGTGCTGGGTGTGGAGGCCATGGGAGCTTAGGCTACCAAGGAGACAGAACTGAACCTCACATCACCCTGCTTGGCCCCAGAGGATGGCTGGTTAGCCAGAGATGGGTAAGATTCCTCAGGGAAGGAACAACCTAAGACAGGCACAGTCACAGAGGGGCCATCAGGAGAGAACATGGGGGTCAATAGAGGTGGGGCACAGACCCTTGCCCTCCCAACAATGCAGGGGCCTGAACCTTCACCCCTTCTGAGGGAGGTCTCCTGCCTCCATAGCTGCTTCATTTCCCATTCCAAGCTCAAATTGGGACCCAGATAACAGACAGAGACTTGGCTGACAGCAGCTGCCCTCTCACTGCAACAAGACCTGTTTGAGTTGTCTCATACCCATGGTGTTGGGATGTGGGTTTTTTTAATATCTAAACCCAGCCTAGTACCAGGAATGTTCAGGGCCTACTCAAGAAGGCAAATAATCCTTTCCACTAATATTTACAGGGTAAAATAAGATTGTTATTAGAGTATTAAATTTGACACTAAATAGTAGTCAAGTTTTCAGACTAATTTAAATTGGCTAATTGAAATAAATGAATATTCTAGAAAAATTAATTGTACTGAACAAAAAACTATTCCTAAAGTGTTAACTAAAATTTTTATTGGTAGTTCATCTCATGATAAAATTGTGTAATATGTAATGAACCTAAAGCAGTCATATTTTAGTGCAAAAAATTAAAATTTAAAAGCTATCCAATTATTCTTTGATTTGAAGGTGTGACTCAAATCTACTGGGATTAGAGAAGGTACCAAAAGAGAGAGAGAGAAGGTACCAAAAGAGAGAGAGAGAGAGAGAGAGAGAGAGAGAGAGAGAGAGAGAGAGAGAGAGGTTAGTTGATGAGTGTATTTTTTCTATGTTTAATAGAATACATAGTTACAAGGATTCACACTCTTTAGGGGTTCACACATATGATAGTAGCATCTGTGTTAGAAGTTTTTTTGTTTTCTGTTTTTCAATTTCCAGCTCTTCAGTCCATTCCTGGATCAGATCTTCCAAGTTGCTTGAATATTGTCCCAACATTCAAAGTATAGAATCAATGATATTGGTCTTTTTACTCTTATTGAAAGTTTTAAAGTGGATGAAGTAAAACAGAAAGGAGTCAGGGAATTCTTACTTCCCAAACTCAGTGATAATGGAACAGGACCCTTTATCAAAAGCCCCTTCCTTTAAAATGCCAGGTGAGGGGAGGTTAACCCATGTAAAAGTAGCAAAAGTCACCACCCACCATCATATTCACCCTGGTCCATTCACAGCGATCATTTTCTTTGAGTAGTTGTTTCCCTAACATTCTGTTTCTTTCAAGACTGAGCAAAGGTGATGTGGGCAGGACCCTTCAGTTCTGAGATACAAACAGATGAATAGTAGCTACTTCTAAGGCAACAGGATCTGCTTTTGAGCCCAGTCCAGTTGTGAGTGATATAAAGGGAAATAGAGCAGGGAGTGCTGTTTTACCCTTCTAGATCATCAATCTATTAAATTATCCTCAACCTCAAGTGCTGCTGTATTGCCAATTCTTGGGCAGTGGAGGGTTCCTTGGCCTCTTAAATATGACCCAAGATCTACATGGTAAGAATAAACCCTCTTTCTCCCCACGGAATCCAGGAAGAATGGTGTTCCTTGTCACCTGCCCTTCATGTTAGTCAGGGCAATGTATAAATTCAATTGGTCTTGTCCCATTCTATGCCCTGATTCTTTAAAAGTGACTGTATACTATAGATTTTCAATACACCTTCCTAGGACTCTTCCCATCTACAGAAATAGGGAGCCTGGCATAGCATTGGAATAATGATGAGGTAGTCCCTCCTTGTTGCGGTATTTAGCATGCAGAAGGCTGTGTTCACAACAAAAAGTTTTGCTGGGCAGACATCTAGGAATCTGTCCCAATGAACTCTCCTATATGGCTGGGCCACACATCTGATACTCAGTATGCCAAGGCCAACACTAGTAGTTTTCTTCTGAGCCTGGTCCACATCTACAGTTCACCAAAGTCCTGCTGATCATCTCAGTAGCCAGATCAGATGCTTTGGTCTCCCCCTATTTCCTATTCCAGGAAGCTTCACAGTCTTTTCTCTATTTAAGTTTTATTAGCTATAGGGAGTTGGGAGACTACCTTTGTCTTTCAGTCAATCTAAACTTCCTCTGAAGCATTTCAGTGAGGTCAGTTCCAGCAATGTCTTCTTTGAAGGTCCCATGATATACAACTCCTTCTATCACCGACTTCTCTGCTGTCTTCTGAAATAACATATCTAGCATCAACACAAGGGCAAATGCTTTTACTCTTGATTTATGAGAAATTTTTAGTAATATGACCTTCATGATTTTTTTGTCTTTTATATAATATTAAACACCTGTTTGAGTGTCTTCAAGAAAGCCAGCTAGGCTAATGGAGGCATTGTTAACTGGATGAGTTCATATGCAGGGCCTGTCAGGCTTTCAATCCAAATCTTTCTTTTTTTTATGCTTTAGATACCTGCCTCTCAGAAAGCATCTCAGTGCTGTACTCCAGCCAGGCTCAAAAGCCTCTTCACCAAAGCTAACACAGCACTCATAGAGGGCACCCTGAGTTTCAGTATCCTGTAGTTTCAACAAAGTGCTAAACTGCTGGCTCCAGCATAAGAACCATAAGATCTCTTAAAAGGACTTTCTCTGTCCTTTTCTCATTTCCCCCTTTTAGTTCCACTCTCTAAAGAAAGAATCAGCCTTTTTAGAAATTTCATATTTTAAGGAGTTTATCACATTACAGGTACTCTTGCCCAAATCATTCCCTAGAAATCTAAGGAATCTCCTGCTTTTGTACCCCACATTTGCACTTTCTTCCACTTTAAACACTCTTTCAAATATCTATATTTTCCCTGAACCTCCAAAACAACCCATATTGCTTAAATAGTATAGTCATCATAATTATCTGTGATCTTCAATGCAATCATGACTGTATGAAGATCCCTATCCCATGATACTCATCTTGAAACAGTCTCAATGCTAGTGCCTCACAAACGCTTGATGGTTCAATTCCACCACTGAAAAGTTTGTTAGGTCAGATTGTTGATTGTCTGGAACAGAGGTTCACATACAGAAGAGCATAAAAACCAATGCTTATGTTCTTTGAAGATGTGCTGGAATGCTCCAGTTGAAAGGCCTCCAAGTAGCCACCTCCATGCTTCTTTGCCTAAAGAAGTGTCTTTTTCTCTTCCAAGATATGACAAGAATCTAGGGAGTTAATGTGGGTTCAAAATGGTTGCTGGGTAGTGCTAAGATTCACAGAGTCCTTACCTGATGAAATATTTAATCAAAAGTTGGTCATAGTTCTGAAGACTAAGCCCAGCACTTCATCAGCTGGGGACATTCTGAGAGGCATGCTCAGGAGGAGCTACTGGACTGTACACAGGAAGAGGCTTCTTAAGTATGTCTATGATTTTTTTACCCAGACGCAGTAAGAGAAAGGTGTACAAATCATGGGAAAAGCACCAAGACTTAGCAAAAATAAGTGAGTTTCAGCCAAAAAAAAAAAAAAAAAAAAGTTGTTAGTCAGCAGAAATCACAGAAAGACCATCTCCTTGCTTTCTGCTTTGGTGACATGAATATAAATTGTATCTGAGCAAATGTTACATCAATTGAAGGCAAGCAAATGGTTAATTGAGGATGGGGTAAAAAAGTTAATCAATTAAACTACGAGCATCATTTAGGCACAGCTTCATTCTGCTTCTGCTAGGTTTTAGATGAGGCCTATCAGATGCCAATTATAAAACTATAACTCCAATTATCTGACTCCCTTCTCTCCTCCACAAATTATCTAAATTTTCTAATCCGCATAGAAGACACAATTACCACCCCACCCCCATAAGGTCTAATACAAACTCAGGTCCAGGCTATGGGCCCTGACTGGCCCCTAGAAAAAGGGGATTTAAAAATCCAGTAGATAGTTCAGAACATCATTGGTATCCTCCTGGCTGTCCTTGAGCTCCATTTTGGAGGAACATTTAACAGATTATGGCCTGAGTAAGTACTTTGCATGCATTGTTTCACTTTATTCTCATTATAGATAGATGAAGTAGGAACTCTTCATTTCTCAAAAGGGAAAACTGAGGCACACAGAGAGAGTAACTTACTCAAAGTCGCATGGATAGTAAGTGAACAGAATTCAAATTTGATCCTAGGTAATATCAGTCTACAACATTGTCCTTCTTACAAATGTCTCAAACCTCAACTGGGAGTTATATTTTATTTTTAAATTTCTTTATTGATTAAGGTATCACATATTTGTCCTCATCCCCCCATTCTCATTCCAAACCCCTCCCCACACATGCCCCCCACCCCCTTGTTGTCCATCCCCGTTGGTTAGGCTCATATGCATGCACACAAGTCCTTTGGTTGATCTCTCCCCCTTATTCCCACCATTCCCTACCTTCCCTCTGAGGTCTGACAGTCTGATCTATGTTTCCTTGTCTCCAGGTCTGTTCTTGTTCATCAGTCTATTCAACTGGGAGTTTTAAACTCTTAATTCAGACACAACAGCTATTAGTTACCAGAGGTCTATATCAGTCCTACTGATGTTTTCACGAAGTGAGAAAACTCCCTAGAAGTAGGAGAAAATGGTTAGCCTTTACTCCCCCCCCCCCCAGCAACCTATACTAGTCTCAAATTTGTCTCTGCTTCCAGTCTATCCTTCTCCAAACCATTCCTAAAACATGAATTTGGCCATGTCACTTTCTTGCCTAAAACCCATTCATGACTTCTTATAACTCACAAAATAAAACCCAAACCCTGTATCTTCATCTCATTTCTTATCCTTAGTCTGTTGTCCACAACCCAACCCTAACATCCTCATCATGAACCCAACCTTACTTACCCTACCTGTGTGCTCTTCCCATTGGCTGTAACACACAACAGCGATGCTTCAAACCATAATAAATATCCCTTACCACATGAAAGAATTTCAGCTGTTGCCTCTGACTTCTTAGCCCCTTGTGACATCACACCTTCTGCTCTTATAATGCAGGTTTGCTTATACCAGTAATGGTTTCTCCATCTCAGCACCCTACTCTCTCAATGCAATTAGAGTTCATATAAATCAACCCCTTGAGATACAACTGCCCTATCCACTTTCTAGCAGAGGGAGTCTTTGTTTCTTTCTCAGAACACCATCAAATTGAATGAATCACTTCTTTATTTAGGTTAAGCATGATTCATGCCTTTGAGGAGATCACAGTCCAATTAATAAAATAAACAATGACCAACAATATAAGTTTTCTAGCAGACAAACATGCAGTTAAACACAAGGGGAGCACCTGACTCACTCTGAAGAGTTCAGAAAAGCTTTTCAAGAGGAGGTGACACAATTTGGATGAGGCAAGGTGGGGGAAAGTTGAAGTCATTACAGGTAGTATGAACAGCCTGTGTGAATACACAGAGGTGGGAGAGAACACAAGGATTTCAGGGCACTGCCAGTCATGGGGTTTAGGTGGAGTGTGGGGAGTGAAGATAAGCCTAGAGAGGTGGTTAGGGGCCAGACTGTGAAAAGCATTATATGTCATGTGAGAAACATGTGTTTCATTTAACAACTGATAGGGAACAGTTGGGGAGCTTTGAGTAGACAAGTGATATTGGACTCTAAGTAGGGAAAATGGTAACTACTTGGAGGTTTTTGTTTTGTTTTGTTTGCATTTTTTAAAATCCTTTATTTAGAAATAAGTTTAGATTTCCAGAAAAGTTATAAAAAATAGTACAATTGCCTATATGCCCTTCACTTATGTTACCCCTAATGGCTTGGTGCACAGATTTGTGTACATTGAAAGGAAATTAATTAGAAGGTGGCTGGCAGGGTGGCACTGAGCTAGACAGACTGGGCATGCCCTGGAGCCAACCTCCCACAGTCTCTCCCTAGCTGCAGCACCTGGGGCTGCACCATGGCTCAAAGGGTGTCTGCAGAGTGAGCGGGGTTCCTTTGACCTGTGGATTGGCCTGATAAACTGGGTCCTGGTGAAACCCTGGTGTGCTTTTCTCACCTCCTGCTTACCTTGATCAGGCATGTCCATCATGAAAATGGGGTTACCCAGACCATCACTTCATGCATGATGATGGCAAAGCTATAGACATCTAGTGCAAAAGAAACTAACCTGCTTTCCTTGGAGGCTCTCAACAGTTCAGGGGCTGCCCACAATAATTCTGAAAAGAAAGTATTGTGTAATGAATGCAGGGTAGATTAACTGACAGTATGTACAATGTCCTCAAGGGCTCCAAGGGTGCTATTTCATTGACTGCTTTATATCATTATTAGAGGCCCTTTGCACAATTCATGCCCGAGTAGGATCCCTAGGTCTGGCCAACTATAAGAGCCAATCAGGGCCTTCCGGTTGCCAGCCAGGGCCTCCCTTTCCTGGCTGCCAGCTGCCAGCTGCTGGCCAGAGCCTTCCTTCATTCCAAACCACCCTCTGGTGGCCAGCTCATATCATAGTGAGTGATTGAACTCCTGGTCTCCTGGTCTCACTCCCGAGGGGACACTTCACATATTAGCCATATATATATATATATATATATATATATATATATATATATATATATATATATATATATATATATATATATAGATTAGACAAACCGGCATGCTAATGCCTTCCCAGGGTCTGAATCTATGAACCTAAGGAATTTATCCCTACAAAGACTTTACCCTCTCAGCTCTAAGAAACTGCACCTCAACCTTAACAAGTTCCTTTAAGATTTAACTTTTCCAGGTGGAAAAGGTGGAGTGTGGGGAGTGAAGATAAGCCTAGAGAGGTGGTTAGGGGCCAGACTGTGAAAAGCATTATATGTCATGTGAGAAACATGTGTTTCATTTAACGACTGATAGGGAACAGTTGGGGAGCTTTGAGTAGACAAGTGATATTGGACTCTAAGTAGGGAAAATGGTAACTACTTGGAGGTTTTTGTTTTGTTTTGTTTGCATTGTGCACAGAGAAAGCATACTACTTTCCCCACCCCAGGACCATGCAGCCATACACAACACATGTGTAGTGAAGAACAGAGAAGCTCAAAGTAGAAAAGTATCTGGCTCTTGCTTTCTTGATCTCTTGAGCCTGCCAGTAGCAGTTGGCAGGCTTCTGGGAAAAGGTAGTGCATTTCCAAATTGGTTGCCATGGATTTGCTGTTTGCTAAAATCTATATGTGTCTAGTAATTTGACTGTGCTGGAGCTCAGGGATTCATAGGTTGGTTTCTCCAGGTCTTCTCTAAAAGGATTAGAGAACCCTCAGGCCTCCTCTGTTCCTTTAAGAGCAAAAAGGTATAGCAAATCCTTCAATTCCGTTCTGCAAGTATTTATTGAGGATCTACTATGTATTAGACACAGTGTAAGTATAAGCAAGGTGCCAAAGATAAATTAGGCCTTGCATTTGCCCTTGCACAGACCAGTGGATAAGACAGACATGTGTACCCCTAACTGCAATACAAGAGAGATAGTGATGAGGCCTACTATATAGCACAAGAAAATGAATCCATTAAAAGCCAAATTTGATCACCCATAGCGTGTTCTGCATCATTTCAGGTCCCATTAAGGTAAAAAAAATATATTATTTCTGCTTTCAGAGTGTTATGGCAGTTAGAGACTCAGAAATTTTTGAGAGGGTCCCCTTAAGCAATATATGAAGAAATACACATTAACAATATAAATAGAACAGTCAAAAGTTGGTGGGAGTCTTTTACATTGAATTGTATAAAATTTCTTTTTCTATAGGTCACAATGGTTAAATATTGACAATTTCTTAAAGTGCAAACAAATATAATCTGATGATCAACTTAATCCAGAAAGGCTTCCTGGAAAAGTTAAATATTAAAGGAACTTGTTAAGGTTGAGGTGCAGTTTCTTAGAGCTGAGAGGGTAAAGTCTTTGTAGGGATAAAGCACAGTCCATGCAAAAGAATAAGAGGTACAAAGGAGCAAATTGCAGATTAGCTTGGCTGAAATGAGTGGCTCTGTTAGGAAATAATGAGAAATGAAAAATGGGGTTGATGAAGTGGGGGAGGAAGGATATGTGAAAGAATGAGGTCAGAAGGTGAGAGACCCTGAGAGCCAAATGAAGGTATTTGAAATGAATACAAAAGGCAGTAGGGATACAGAAGTTGAAGAGGGATTTGATGAAAACCATGTACAGGAATATGAGTCTGGCAAAATGCACAAGCTGGATTGAAAAATGAGAGAGGCTGTAATCAGGGGAACTAGTTAGGAAGTTGTTACTGGAAGAGCCAGAGTTGGTGTGAAAGAGGCCTTAATAGGGGTGCAAGTGGCAGCAGCAGGACAGAAACCAGACATATAGGAAGGCTACAAGGGGGAAGGAAGCGATAGGGCTGGGGATAAGCTCTTTGTGCTCTGAAAAGGGATGAAGGTTGTAGTAAACAACTGGTTAATGGCCAGATAGAGAGGATGAAGTAATGTTCAAGACGGTGTAGTGGAAAGTAGTGGCTTACTTTTTATCTTGTTAAATTTGGGGTATTGGGAAGGGAGTCCAGGGGACAAACTTATATGAAGCATGAAGGAGAGTGAAAGGTCAGATTATTTTGGTTTGTTAATAAAACCCAGGAAGGAGAAACTCACCTTGGAAATTCTTATTTTAAGCCAATCCTGATCAAAATGATAGAACAGAGAATTCTCGCCTTAACCTCAATCATATACACATCTTTTCTCTTTCTCTTTTAGGCATCCCCAGTCTTTTTTCCCTCTCCCTTGCCCCCATGAAAGTCTCTGATACACTATTTATAGTGATTTTGCCCTTATGTCTCCATACCTAAGTTGACTGATTTTTATAAATAAAACTGAAAAGATTAAATGATACTTCAGTCAAAGAATATATTTATGTCTGTGGGATTTAAGGCATATGCTTTTGACGGGGAGGGCAGGAGGAATATTTGGGAGCAGAGAAAATGGTGTGTGACTGCTTCTTCCTGGCATCCTCTCTCTGTGCAAATTTAAAAGCACAAGAAGGAAAAGGGGGACAGAACTCTCTGGTAAAAGCTGGATTATTAAATACAATCATTACCAGATAGTATTTTCAGAGAGCACTTACATGTATGTTGTTAATGGCTAAAATGTGGCTTTATCTGCACTATAATTATATAATTGAGAGTAGACAGTAATGAATACACTTACAAACCACCCCCATTTTCCCATCCCTACTCCAGAGCCAAGTAAGAGCACTACATGCCATACTTAAACTCTCAAGAAAACTAGAAAAATTGCCTTAGCTTGTTTTGTTGTGTTTTTAATCTAGTGGAGGCAATACTAACTCTGAGCCTTGCTATGGTGATAAAATCACCTGTCAATAGTCAGTGTGGTAAAGTACAAAAATAGCATAGATATGGAAATAAAGACATGTGAGTTTAAAATCTCAGGTTGGTCACTAATTAGCTCACCTTTCTGAACCTCAGTTTCCCCAACTATAAAATGGAAGTTGAGCCTGATGATCTCTAAGCGCTTTTCAATTATAAGATTGAAATATACAGCAGGGAGCATCAAGTTACTTCATCCATTTGTAGATGCAGCAAACATTTATCTTGTCTGGTTGAGAAAGGTGCTGAGTGGAAGCAAACCTGTTTCTTGCCTTCACGGAGCTTATAGTTTAAATAGGGAAAGAGGATAGCTAATTAAACATGTAATACCAAAAAATGTATAGTATTACAACAAAGTTCAAAGCCCTAAGGATCGTTGAGAGAACTTAGCCCAGCATAAGGAAGCATGGGAATCCTCTTGAAATAGTGATATTTATGCTGAGCCCTAAAGAAGGAATAGAATTTAGCCAGAATCATATAAGTGTATAAAGAGAGAGAAGGGAAGACTATCTCAAGTAATATGCACAGTGTGTGTGAAGATCTGTAACTAAGAGAGGGCCTGGTGTAAATACACAACTGGAAGGAGTTCAGCACTACTGGAGCATAGAGATGGAGCATAGAGATGGAGGGAGGTTTTCAAGGCCCAGACTGCACAAGGCTCATAAGCCATGTAAAAGAATATGAACTTTATCTTAAACCATGGGAAGCCATTGAGTGAATTTTGGCACAGCTGTGACATGATCAGATTTGCAGTTTAGAAAACTTTTGGCTGCAATGTGTGAAGAATGAATTGAGCATCTACACTGCCATTGCAATTTGGAGAGTGAAATGAAAAAAGACAGACACTGTACACACACACACACACACACACACACACACACACTGCAACTATCCTTTCCTCACTCAGAGAATAGAATTTCTTAACTTTGAAAGTTATCAACCTGTGAATTAAATGGAACTTTGGAAACTTGGTATTGTGTTTTATCTTTTGTGGGTAACTAATTTTGACAGGAAGCTAAGTACTTGCAACTCTGCAACTGCTGTCCCAATATGTTAGATCTAAGAGCAGAAAACTACTCCAAACTTTTAAAATGGAATCAGCCAAATAATTACCATAGGACTAAGTGTGCAATAAGGATAAGGAGAGAGAGAGAGAGAGAGAGAGAGAGAGAGAGAGAGAGAGAGAGAGAGAGAGAGAGAGAGAATTTTATTGTGATTACCAGGAGCTTCATCCTCCAAATCATGGATGGATAGGGAAAAAAGGAAATTATTATATGTTTTAATTTAGTTGGATGAAAGGGCTAGTCTTCCAAAGACCAAAATTGAATTCCTGGAAATGCTGCTAAGTAGCTGCATTATTTGAGAAAATATTGAGCTTCAGTTATCTTATCTGTTAAATAAGAGTTGGACTAGATGATTCCCTAAAGTTTAATATCCCACAAGTTTTGTAAAGCACAAAGATGATACCACTGGTGACCAGACTGTCCATCTCTATCTGCACATGTCCTTCTATCTTTCATTCTTCATTTTTTCTATGTAATACACTCAGCAGTTTTAAAACTTATAATGCCAAAAATCCTTTAAAGGATACGAGAATGTGTAATTTTATCTCTCTCCTCCTCTCTTTCTTGTGTTTTTCTGTTTTCTGTGTCACTCTCTTCTTTGCCCTTGCAATACTGGTTAAAACTTTTAATGCCTGTTTCTTATGTGTATTTTATCTGATTCACTGTTTCTCCTTATTTTTTCTCTTTCTTACTCCCTCTCTTCCATCGGTTTATTTCCTCCTAGTTCTCACTCACTCATTCCCATTCCCCATTACAGATTTCTATTTTATGTATGATGATCCCTACAGACATTGTTTGGTGCTGCCACTAGTGCATTAACAGAAGACAAAAACACAAAATGGACCTTAATGCCATACTTTCTTCTTTACTAGAATGCCACAGTTCTGTCTGAAGTCATGCCACACAACCCATAGAGCATTAGCTTGTTAGGGGCTTCCTTCTATCTCTCTGACAGAGATACTGAGGGTAGGCTCTAATGATATGCCATTTCAGAATGTGCTTTGTAGGGGTCCAGCTACCAAATTACCTTCCATTCAATCTGACAAGTATTTATTGAGTACCTACTGTGTGCCCAGCACTCAGTACTTTCCTCCAGGGACTCCTGGGGTCTCCAAACAATACAGCCTAATCCTGCCACAGCAGGAACTCAACATTATTGCATAGGCTTTGTTCTGAAGGTTAGGCTTTGCTAAGATTACAGCTTACAGAATTCATTCAACTCCTTTGGCTTGGAAATGAGGCTGATTTTTTCAACAAAAGTGAGGGGTTGAATCAGTCTGAGACTTTAATTCAGTGCATATACTCATTTGAACTTTGGAGCTACCTTATGTGCATCAGAAAGGAAAAATACATTGCTTACCTTCAGCAGAAGGTTTCTGTTGGGAGAGTGTTAGCATTTCCAAGATGTCATTAAAGTCATAATATATTACTTTTAGTACAAAATGCCCATCTACCACATAGTTACCAGATTTCAACTTCCAATAAACAAACTCTCTATAGTGTAAGTACTTCATGCCCTGAAGATAATACAAACGGGATTTATCTAGCAACTTATTTAACTATTTTTGCTTATAGAGCTGCTTTCTGAGATTAATGGCATGAGCTATTATGATCTAGAATTCAGCCTTTTTTTTTTCTTATATCCTGGCAAATCAAACTCTGACAAGAATTGTTTCCAGGTCGATTTTAATTCTAAAATTGTATACTTTGATAAGGAATCATTTCAAGAGTTGTGTGTTATTGGAAAATTTACTGCCATTTCAAACACAGGATGGATTCACACATATATAATTATCAAGAATTTGAAGATTCGCCCCCCCCACACACACACACACAAAGGTCTAGTTCAACTCTCATCTACAATTGGCAGGAATGGAAACTGGTACATCCATTTAGATGGGAAAATTGACCGAGAGAGAGAGAGAGAGAGAGAGAGAGAGAGAGAGAGAGAGAGAGAGAGAGAGAGTCTTATAGATTCTACTTCCTCTCCAAAGAAATGCTTGCTCATCTGTACAAGAAGACATACAAGAATTCTCATTGCAGATTTGCTTTATAATATTGTATAATTTGAAATACAATAAATACCTATCTGCTAGGGTCTTTTTCACAGCTGCAAGGGTTTGGGAATGTGGAGAAGAGCTGCACGTAAATGAATAAACTAGACATAAACTATAAATTTAGGAGGCATGGGAAAGCCAGGGGAGGCTCTACTATCTAGTGAAGTGGGTTCTCCAAATCTCGGGACCCTTGGCTTTTTATTCCCAAATTTTCCCTTTAGCAAAGCAGATATACAATATCAAAGGTAAGGCCTGATAAACAATAAAGGACCATCAGGTTAGGGGGATTGCCTTTGGCTGTTCCAGCAGCAGGTAATAACATTAATAACATGCAGATTTTTAGCCCTGCTGAAAGAATCCCTTCAACCTTTTGAGGACTTCTCACATGTATTATGACCCACTAGATTTAGTCTCCAGCATATCACCCTTTTTGATTTAATAAATTTAACAAGAATGTATACCATTTGCAGAGCTCTGGTCCTTTTAAGATTTTTAAATTCAATAATAAGGATTGAGTTCTATCATTTTCTTTTAAATTGCTGCCAGGCATCAAAGGAATCAGTTTGCAGTAAGCTCCTTTCTGGGCCAAATTCTTTGAGCCCCCTTCTTAATTACTGTCTAACAGGTTTGTGTTTTTTTTATATAGGTTTCTTTCTCAATCACTGTCCCCTGTGACATGACAGCAATTATACTCTAGTTTTGGATGGTGGATAAACAGTGAGCAATGGCAATGCAGATCCGACCTTCTTTGGCTTGTCCTGGGCAACCTGCAGCAATGCACAACTAATGTCTGCTAGCATGGCCAGGCGTCTTTACTATCCCCTATCTTTGGACTGTTTCTCCTCTGTCTCCTCAGCATGTTGCTTGGGGCCACCACCATCTGTGGCTGGAGTAGTCTGGTCAGTTCCTCTCTTAGATCCTTGTTGCAGGAATCCACACAGGCTTGGAGGAGTTTTATGGAAATATATAGGCATATTCTTGACCAAAGGTTAATAAAGGAATCCTTTCTATAAAGTGGAATCAGAATTTTTTCATTCTGCCAAACCATTTTCCATTGGCTTATTCTGACACCTGTCTGTGTCCCCACCCACCAGCTCCTGCCTGTGTGTGCCTCCATTGGGAGTGGCTTCCGCCTCCGAGGCAGTGTGACATTAGCATGGAGCAGGCCTGCACACATCTACTAGGGGAGGAAGTCCCAGCCCTCATGTCCCCCCACCCACCAGCTCCTGTGCATGCGCATCCTGTTGACCAGTTGTGGCTGGGACACCATTAGGACCAATTAGCATATTATCTCTTTATATATATAGATGCTTTATATCGTATGACCTCAAAAAGGTTGCAGTCACCTATAACTTCCTAGCATAGTTTGCAGTGGATAAGATTTTTCCCAGGTTATCTAATGCTTGGGTTCATTCATCATGGGCCTGAGAGCACTGTCATTTATAGGTTTTTCCCTTAATTCACAGGACCTTGCTTACAAGGTAAGTGGAAAAGTACTAAAATAGGAATTAGGAGATTTGGATTCTATTATTGATGAGGAAAATAAGACATTGCATCAGACCAGGCCTTTAGGTGTGGTCTCACAGCCCCCATCCCAACACATGGGGCTTTTTGCAAAGCCTGTGAAAGTTCTAGAAGTATGATCCATATTGAGGGGCAAAGAAACCTAAGGGTATAAAGAGAAAGCTTCCTCCATATTGTTTTGCTCAGGGTTTGGAAATAGCTTTCCCTGAGTCATGGCACTAGTACATCTAGAAATAAGTGGGCTTTTCCTGTATCTCTGGGTAGTCCTGTGTATATTTTGGTCCCCTAGTAAATTCTGTAACATAAAAATTGTTTCCCTGACTGAGAACATGCAGCCAAATTTTCCCCCTTGAGGCACTACTGCACAAGAGCAGGTGGGTGGGCCCACTCCACCAACCCCCTGATGACAGGAAGGCACACTTCCAATGATTTACTGGGTCTCAGTACTCATTGGGCCTGGGCAACTGGGGCCCTCACTAGCATTGTAGTAGACTCCAAGGAGGATAGGAAAGCCCTTTTCTGGAACCAGACATCTGGGGATCAGTTCAAGTTCAGGCCTGCCTTTAGGGACAGAAGTAGTAGCTGATCACTATTCAAGCAAATTATTTGCCTTGGTTCAGGGAATTTCCATGGGTAGAAATCAAAACTCAGACTGACTGGTGTGTGAATGTGAGTGTGAGAGTCTGCATGAAGTGAAAACTACCTTTTATTATCCTGTGTCTCTGTTAACTGGGAGGGGCTTAACTGCAAATATGGGAGGTAGCTCCTGTAAACCTGCTGTCTTATAATGTATGCTAAATAATTTTAAGAAGGGTTCATACCGCTGCCTGCAATGCAAATTCTCTCCATGAAATCAGAGGCCCCCAGCTTTTGGCCAAGAATGGTAAACTTGACAGTGTTTGTTGATATTTTATGTCTCTTTGTTCTTTAATTTGTTAGAAAATGGGGCAAATCTAGTTTTGGCGGTATCCCAGTGTGTGTGGTGAAGCTGAACACATGACAGAGATTTGAGGATGTCCCAACAGCTGCCAAGAATCCTTATTCTTGGGGACTTCTTGCTCTTCCTGTCAAGGTGTTAGCCCATCAGAAACTCTTTGCTAGTAAGATTTCTGTCTGTTTGTCTATCTGTAATGTAATTTTGGTTTTCTAACTTTTAGGTATTTTAATTTGCTCTTTCATGATTTATGATTTTGCTGTGCTGGGTTAAAATTTTAAGATTCTAAGATTAATTTGAAAATGCAAAATGTGTAATGGTTGCAACCCAGAGAATTTAAAACAAAGGCTATCTAATTCCAAGCCTAACAAACCATTATCTTCCCTACCTGAGGCAAAGTGGGAGGGGAAAAGAACAAAAAAAGGGGGGAGGGCCATTTTACTCTGAGCAAAAGCTGAGGTTTCAGTTCCCAGGCCAGATAGAATCAGAGGCAGTACTTTCTGAACTCAACTGGTCAAATAAATTAGCAAAATCCTGCCCAGCATCACATCCATTAAACATCCAGTTGTCAGCATTGGTATTAATGGTGAAAGAAACAGGAGGGTAAGCAGGTGGCCTGTGACTGCTTGTGACATTACAAACCCACACAGGCCAGCCAAGGCAGAACTGAGGCTGGCTACAAAGCAGTCACAATTTGGCAGCTTCTGTGCCCTTGAGGTTAGGGCAGCAAGGAAATGGGTGGGTGGTAGGCTTGTTCCCCCAGCATTTTCTCTGAGACATTCAAAGTATAATATATCATATCAGCGACATTACTAAAATACAAAAATTTAGTAGCCAAATTGAAAATAATTAATTCTGTGGTGAAGATCAAATCTTTAATGTTAAAATCAGTTTAAGTTTTGATAATCTTTAAATTGGGTATATTTGACAGCTTTCCCGAATGTAATATTTCAAGAATTTAACTGCGAGACAGCTTTATGACATTTCAAGAGCCCTGGGGTGGCACAAAGATTTATTCTCTCTCCCTAAAGGAAATAATTTTAAACTAAATTGGACCAATACAATTCACTTGAAATTATATAAGGAAGTAAGCTATGCAGGCTGGTTTGAGTAACAAGATTAATGCTTCCATGATAATGGGCGATTCTTGAATGAAGATATTCCAAGGGTCCCAAGGGCATATGATTCCCAGCCAGATTAGCATGTCCTTTTCTTGAATGAAAAGGACAATCATGGTCATTGGTCAGGAAAATGCTTTAGGTAATAATTGACTTTAAAATCTCAAAGTTGTTAAGATATAATAAATAGATGAAACTAAAATGAAAAATTTGGATAAAGCCTTTTCAGTAATAATTATAGATATGTTAACAATGAAAGTCCAGTCAGTCAAGAGGAGACTGACTGTGCTCTCTGTTGGAGGAAAGGGCCAGCCTGTAAAAGTAAAAAAGCCTAAAAGAGAACAAGGGCAGACAGGGGAGTGAGGCCCTTATCCTGCCTTCCCCTCTCTATGTGACCAGGGTATGACAGCCAAGATGGCGATTTACAATCCCAATTTCTCCATTGGTAGGAGAGCTTTTTTTATAAGGCTCTAACCACCATGCATCCACTGCACCACCAGAAACCAGCTGCAAAAGGAGTTGGAGCAGTAGTAAAAAAAAGAAAGTTAAAACATCTGCAGGAAGAACCATGAGTCTTAGCTGACTAGCTAGACTAAAAGAAGGGGGGATGATTTGAAAGTCAGCTATAACTATCTGGGAAAGGGAGCACTTGGCTGGCCCTGGGGTGCTTTCAGCAGATGGAATATTTCCAAACCCGGGAGCCCCAATTGGACTTGGAACTTAAATAACACCTTCAATATTCAGCAAGGCAAAGAAGAAGGGCCTTTCAAATTTTACCAAATATTAAAAGATAAAATGAGAAAGTACTCTGGGCCAGACCCTGAGGACCTGTTGGGCCAAGAAATCTTAAAAATTAGTTTTTGTCACCAATAGTTGGCTTGACA